GGTGCACGAAGTGCGCCGAGAAGTTGCGCGGGTAGCAGAACTGGTGCTCGCACCGCGGGTGCGGCAGGGCCACCGTCAGGTTGTGGCGCTCGGCGAAGCGGAACAGGATGTTCTGCACCGTGGTGCCCGCCGTCTTGTGCGTCTTCAGGAAGGCCACGGTCATGTGCTTGGGGCGCGGTGGGGAGTCCTGCAGAGGCGGGCAGCTCAGAGGGAACAGCCTGGGGTACCTGCAGGGTCCAGGGAGGGGTGCAGGGAGGAGGGTGTGAGAGGCTGTGAGCCCTGCCCCTGCCCGAGGATGGTTGGGGTGGGCTACAGAGCAGCCCCTTTTGGGCTTTACCCACAGAGCAGTAGAGGGGTATGGTAGGCGGCCTCTAAGATGACCCACGTGATCCCTGCTGGCCTCCTGGTATTCATGCTGTTGTGTATTTCCTTCCCCTTGAGTATGGGCGGGGCTTATTGATGTCTCTAAGGAATAGAATAGGGCAGAAATGATGGATGTCACTTGTGAGATTGCACTATAAAAAGACTATGGCTTCTATCTTGGCGTCTTATCTAGGACAACTCCTGTAGGTGAGCAAGCTGCCATCCCATGAGCCACCCTATGGGGAGGCATCCCATGGCAACAGTTACTAAGGAACTGGGCCTTCAGTCCATCACCCTGCTTGAGGAACTGAAGTCTGTCAACAACCACATGCGTGAGCTTGGAAGGGGAGCCCTTCCAACCAGACCTTCAGATGAGACTGCAGCCCCATGAGAGAGCTTGAGCCGAGGTACCCAGCTAAGCCCCACCTGGGTTCCTGACCCACAGAAGTGAGATAGTACATGTTTGATGTGCTCAGCTGCTAAGTTTTGAGGTAATTTGGTTACACAGAAATAGATAACTAATAGAGGGAGAATGGCCCTTGGAGATCCTTGAGGAATTCCACTCTAAAGATGTAGAAACGGAGGTTTAGAAGAAAAAAGTCATTTACGTAAGTCTGGCAACCCAGATAAAGTCGCCAAGTCCTCTTGCTCTCTCTTGTTTTTCACTTTTACTTTTTCACTGGCTCCTCACCTTGTGGATGAGAGGCAAGGGCTTTGAGGCAAACCATTTGTCATGTGATTCTGTTAAGACCTCTGGAGCTTTATTCATTCGTTCGGCCGATATTTTTTTAAATCATCTCCTATGTGCCAGGCACTGTTCTAGGCTCAAGAAATATGATAGTGTAGAGAACAGATAACAGTCCTAGCCTTCATGAAGCTTTCATTTGTTTCCCTGATCCTGAAAGGATGTTTGGGCTTACAGGTAAACCGGTGAGATCTTTTCAGACTTTGAGTCACTCTCCTGTTTCTTTTCTACCACCCTAGTCATAATGGAATGAGGAAACGCTAAGCAGCTTTGAGAACACCATTGAGATTTCCTATCCGTGGCTGATTTGGGTTCAGGATAATGTCTACACAGACGCCCTTTTAAAGACCAGCAAATCACGGGGTTGGGCCCACTCACATCATTCTCCTGGGCAGACCATGCAGAAAATGGGGAAGCTGAGGCTCTGAGGGGTGCAGGTATTTGTTGGGTTCACATGTGAGCCAGGAGTAGGGCCAGAGCTTCTATTAGTCACATGGTATCCTGTGTCAGGGTGACTAGCTGGGTCACACATACCATCATTCTATTTTACAGATGAGGGAACGGGCTCAGAGAAGCGAGAGGACTTGCCCAGCACAGCAGAAGTAGCGAGAAGTTGTTTACAGTCCTTTGAAGTTGTTTACAGTCCCCTTAGCCCCTTAGCCCACTAGCCAGTTGTTTACAGTCCCCTTAGCCCACTAGGCAGTCCTTTGGGGAGGCACTGGATTTGGACTGGATTAGAGTCCCAGTTTAGTCACTGACTCACTCTGACTTTGAGCAAGTCACTCCCATTTCAATGAAGATCAATCCATGCCCTGGGAGGTTGTGTGGATCTAAAGAGATGTATGGTGCTCGGCCAGCGTGGCTCATTGAGCATCGACCTATGAACCAGGAGGTTATGGTTCGATTCCTGATCAGGGCACATGCCCAGGAGTGGGCTTGATCCCCAGTGTGTGGCATGTGGGAGGCAGCCGATCAATGATTCTCTCTCATCATTGATGTTTCTATATCTCTCTCCCTCTCCCTTCAGCTCTGAAATCAATATAAATATATATTTTTTTAAAAATAAAGAGATGTGTGGAAAGCACTTCAGGATAGAGCAGTGATGGCGAACCTATGACATGCGTGTCAGAGGTGACACGCGAATTCATTTTTTTGGTTGATTTTTCTTTGTTAAATGGCATTTAAATATATAAAATAAATATCAAAAATATAAATCTTTGTTTTACTATGGTTGCAAATATCAAAAAATTTCTATATGTGACATGGCACCAGAGTTAAGTTAGGGTTTTTCAAAATGCTGACACACCGAGCTCAAAAGGTTCGCCATCACTGGGATAGAGGGAAGGAACAAAGCCCAACAGAAGACAGACTTCTGGCAGGTGCAAGGAATGGAAAGAAGGGCTCTCGGTTCTGGTGTTAACCAGGCAGCTGGCCCCCTGAATACCCCAACTGCCCTGGGCCCCGCCCCTCACCGAGGCCCTGCCCCCTCACTGAGGCCCCGCCCCCTCACCAAGGCCCCTACCCCTTACCAGCTGAGTTGTGCACCCTGGTGGATGAGGAGGCTCAAGGTGCTGCACCCTAGCACCAGCAGCAGGATTTTCCTGCGGCTCATCATCTTGGTGGCCTGCTGCAGGCGTTGGAGGATGGGTGGCATGATGGCGTACCCACCCCTGGACTAGCCAGGGTCTTGCTATCCAGGACACCCGCTGCTGGCACTCATGGGGGCTCCTGAGGCTCTGGTAGCAGGGCCAGTGTTCCGGAGAGGCCTGGCAGGGGAAGAAGGCAAACAGGTTTGTAGTGGGCAGAGGAGATGGGCTCTCAGCCCCCGCGGACTGCTGCAAAGGAGAGCTCCCAAGAGTGGGGTGAGCAGAGAGGCCAGGGAAGATCAGATTCCTGCCTCCCGTCACCAAGACCCTATCTCCACACGGCTCCAGATAACTTAGCCTTGGGTGGAATTACAGGCTCTGGGGTGTGGCCAGCCCTTCAGGCTATAGCCACTCCCTTAAGCCCTGTCTCTGCTTCTCTCTGTGCCCCCAATTCCTCTTTGTCTCGTGGCCATTTGTATCTGTCGCCCCAGTAGACTTGCCTTGGCACCGCGGCTTGGCTCAGGTCACAGAAGTCTCAACTCAAGGTTTCCCCTCCTTCCCTGATGGCTTCGGCCAAGGGTTGGTCTTGACTCCCCAGAAACTGAGCTCCTCAGAAACACTGACCAAACCTTCACCTTCTCAAGTTTCTGACACAGGGACTTACTGTTTGTACTATGCTATTATATACTTAATCCTGTTTAATCACCTCAACCCTAACATATTATTCCCACTATACAGACAAGGAAACCAAGGCTCTAAAAATGAAGTCCCTTGGCTGGGCCACAGAGCTGGTATTAGTAGAATCCGGGATCAGACTTGCTCTTTCTGGCTCCAGAGTCCATACCCTTAGATAGGTGTGCTGCTTCCAAAAAGAACTGGTTTCCCCAGCCTGCCCTGAACGCTGGCACTTCTACCCGCTTCTGAGCCCTGAGCCCTCCCACCTGGGCTCCTGCTCTGAGGGTTCAAGACCAATAAATCCATGAGGGACTTGAAATCCTGGAACCCTACCTGGATTCCATCCCCAGACACCTGAAACCCTGGCCACCCCATCAGCTTCCTCTACAGTGAGGGGCAGTGGATGGCAGCTTGGCGTGGGGCAGGGTGTGGGATGCAGAGGGGCTCCGGATCATTGCCCTGCTGAGAATCTCCTGGAGGTGGGCCTGCATTCCAGGTGAGTGACAGGTGTGAGAGCCAGAGGAGCCTGGTTTCCGGCCAGTCACCCACACATGAATGCTTTGGCTCAAGGGCAGTACAGCCCTTGGCAACTCCAGTGGAAAGTCGGCTTCAGTAGCAATGCCTGTCAGGTAGGGTGGGGTCTCTGCCCCAGCGGCCTCGTCTCCAGGTTCTGGTTCAGCTTCAGCCTCATAAACCCTCCTCTCCAAAAGGGAGGGGGAGCCTGGAACCTTACGGGCATGTGCATGTGTGGAACTAGGACACCTGAGTCCCAGGAGGGGTGAGGTAATGTGAAAACTCTTTTGACCATCACCTTTCCTGGGGGCCCTGGGCTTGGCTTCCAGTCCCTCTTCTTCCCCCCACACAATTAATCCTGGATTACACTGAAACCTGATGGGCTGGAAAGATGTCTGGTTATGCCTTTCCCTTCCTTCCGGGCCCCAGCACCTTGTTTCCTCCATCAGCTTGCAGACAGACTTAATCCACCTGGAGCCAAGGGCGGTGAAGGGTCCAGCCACAGAGGACAACCAAGGAGCAAGTCCACCCCCACCCCCTGCTGGGGCAGAGGAGGGCTGGCTCTGTCTGGGTGGGCAACCTTCAGGAGGAAGTCAGAGCCAGTGGCCCTCGCAGGATGGAGGCCTTCCCTTTGTCATTTATCCTGCCTAGAGGACTTGGTGGCCAGGCAGGAGTTCCCCAAAGGGGCAACGTGAGGGCCCAGCCTATTCCCATCTTTGCTAAACTCCTTGAAACCACCCTATTTTTCAGGGGACTCTGGGTCAGCCAAACATGTCAAGCCTGGAGGGAGCTATGGTGGAATTTTCTCTGGGAGATGCTTCAACCAGGTCACACAGAGAGGGCGATGGGCTGCTTGGTGGCTCCCTCCATGCCATTCCCCTTAGCCCCGGGGAGCCAGCCAGCCAGACCCTATGTGAGGCTCACTTGGAACCAGCCATCATGAGCACAAGAATTCCCCAGGCACGAGTTTCTGCTTGGCCACCATCGATGACAGAATGCTCATCACCTTCAGATACAGCCTGGTCCATTTCTGAGCAGTGCTGGCTGTTCAGAAGTTCTCTCTGGGATAGCTAGGATCCTCACTTGTCCCCTTCTACCTTCCGCTCTGCATGTGGCCAGTTCTACCCTCCTAGACCACACAGACCACTTTTCTCCATGACACCTGCAGGTGTTTGAAATCAGTAGCCCTGTCTCCTTGGGGTGGGCACTCAGCCAGGATAAACATTCCAGGTCCCAAGAGAGTGCTGCTCGCACATTGGAGGCAGCCTCCCTTCCCGTGGCAAGTTCAATCCTTGGTGCCTCTGCTGGAGATGGAGTCAGCGTCCGGACACCCGGGAGGGGCTGTCCGCTTCTGTGGGCTCCAGGCTGGTGTGGGGAGGGTCTGCTGGGGCCAGGCCCCTCATAGGCTTCAAACTACTTCCCGGCTTCCCTTCTGTCTTCTCCATGGAGTGTTTCCCTCAGCCACCCCAGACAGGCCAGGGTGCCCAACCTCATCAGAATATCAGGGCTAATTTTAGTCAGCACAACCTACCTCAGGCTGCTGCAAATTGCTTTCCCTTCTCCAGGGAACCAAAGAAGAAATGGAATAGCTAGCCAGAGCTCTGCAAACTGGCCTGGGTGCCCACCCACTCCCAAGCGAGCCCTCCTCTCTCCTCCAAGCTCTAGGGCCAACAGTGGTGCATTTAGAGGAGGAGGGCGCCCTGGCCTGGACCACCCAGGCCTGAGGACCTGACCTTTGGCTGACCTGGAGACTCCATCCTCACTTGAGGGTGGCACAGTCCAGTAAACAGTTTCTCCCTAGAGAGAAGGGCCAAAGGCTGAGGAGGCTGCAAATGAGTGTCCCAGGAGATCAAGTATCTTTCCACCTCCCTCCTTTCCTTCCTTTTTCCTCCGCCTGCACCGGGTCCCTCCAGCCCCCTTTCCCTGTCCCCAACGTCATCCGTGTATCCGAATTCCCCTCCCCTGCTCGCTCCATCACCATCTACCTCCCCCCACCTCCATTCCCTCAGTTTCATCCCAGCCTCCCCCAGGGATCTGTCACCCGCATCTGCTCATAGGGGACAGGCCAGATTCGCCCTCTCACCCAGTCCTCTCCCGCTCCCCAGACACGCGCCCCTCCTCATGCTCTCAGGGCTCTGCGCCCCTAGGACAGGCTCCCGCCCATCCTGCGCCCCCGTCCGGGACCGGTCCACCCCTCCTCCCCGCCCAGGTTGGCTACCGCAGTACTCACGCGCGGGCTCTGCCTCCGTCCCCGGTGGCGGGTGGTCGCCGCCTCCCAACCCTTTTCCTGAAATCCGCTGCGGGTCCGAGGGCGCCGGGGCCCTGCGCACCGAGCACCCGTCGCTCGCCTCTCCGCGCCTGGATGGGATCAGGTGGCGGCGTCCGCTGGGTTTCTCGGCTCACGGCTCTGCCCGCTGCCCGCCCCGCATCGCATACTGGAGGCGGGGCGGGGGCGGGGGCCCAGCGGCAGAGCTGGGGAGGAGGAGGGGAAGGGGAGTGAGAAGAGGAGGGGGCAGCCCTGACTCGGAGGCTGCCGATGAACATTTTCCGGGCGGCATCTTTCCCTGGCAACCTTGCTGAGTCCGGACACCAAGGTGGCCAGCTCCTTGCCTCACTTACAGAAGGGGACATTTAGGTTCGGAAAGTATCTGGATACTGTGGCATTGCTGGACATTCCTGGGCCCCACTGGTCAACCTTGGGCTGGAGCATCCTGGGGGGGGTGTGTGTGTGTGTGTGTCAGAGACACAGGTACATTTACAGGCGCCCACATGCTCCCTCCCTCCTCTCCTCTCCTCTTTCCACCTCCAGATAAGAAGCATAGTTGCATAGAAGCATAGTCTGGCCCCATCTGCCCTCATACCTCCGGGAACCCTTTTCCTCCAGCCCCGGAAGCAGCCCTTGCTGCTGACCCACTCCCACCCTCCACCAGGACCCAGACCCACTCACTCCTGACCAGAGCCTCAGTGGATGGGAGCTGTTCTGAGCCCGCAGAGGTGGTACATGTGAAGATGATACTTGTGAGCTCCTGTGTGTGTGTGGGGGGAATAGTCTTGAATTTTCTACTGCCGTTCCAGGAGCTAGGCAGCAACACCTCCCAAAGTCACCCCAGACACCAAGAGCCACACACGTAGTTCTCTGGCTCTCACAGAGTCCTGGAGCCCTGCTTTCTCCTGCCCTCTTGGCCTGGTATGGCAAGGGTCCCAGAGCTGAGGCAGCCACCCATAGCTGGGACTGGAAGGGACTAGATTCCATTCTACACCCACACAGGTAGGTGTTGTGTGAGGGTCCTTATTGAGGAGGAGGAGGGAATGGGGACACTCAGGATCAGGAGAACTGCTCGTCCCAGATTGGCTCCTCAGTCTTCCCCTCTGAACAATGGAGGACCTACCCTGCCTGGGTCCCAGGGCTGTTGGGATAAAATGGGGCCCTACTAGGGTTGTTGCTTTCTGGCCTAAGCAGCACCACCTCCTCACCCATCAGCCCTTAGTTTATCCTGCCTGAGACCGCCAACCTCTTCCCCAGCACATACATACACATGCTTTGGGGCCTCTAGCCTCAGATGACCTGCCATTGGCTCTCCAGTTACAGGGAGCAGAAAGGCACTTCCTTTGTGTCAGGAATGGTTCTGCTTGAGTGGGCTGACAAGCTGGAGGGGAGGGCGAACTGTTCTTTCTTCTGTCCTTTTTGGGTTTGGCTTCTCCTCTGGGAGTGTCAGGAGACTGGGATGGTGGTAGTGATAGAAGTGGGAAGGGTCAAGGTTTGGACAGGAGCAAAGAGAATTTCCTAGCCAGTCATTTTTCCTGGCCCAGTCCTCTTCTCTGTCTGTTATAAACCTCACACCTTCCCTGGACCTGACACCCTATTTTTTTTCACTGTTCCCAGCTATTTCTTTGTTGGAGGCAGCCAGTGAAATGGAGCATGCTAGAGATATGCAGGGTGTGGGTGTGTGGGGGAAATGAGACCATTTCACTTGAGTTTCCTGGCTCTACACACACACCCACACACACACACGTTGAACTGACTGGTCAGGACAGGGAGAGGTGGAAGCTGGGCAGGTAAGGGGTACCTGCCCATTTCTCCCTCAGGCGTACAGGCCAGTGGTGGGGGTTGGGGGTGCAGGAGGCAGGAGGCAGGGTCGGTCCTCCAGGAGGCTGGTGGGGATGAGGGAAGAAAAGATCCTGAGTTTATTTTGGAGACTAAAAAGACGAAAATAATGTCCCTGGAAAGACTGCTCCACTTGCCCTCCTTTCCCCAGTTATCATTTATCGAACGCCAGGCCCCTGCTCACGTTCTTGGGGATAGAGGTGGGTAGAAGGGGCAAGAAAGACTTCAAAACAAATGGTGGGAGGTTTGCATGTATTATGAGAGCTCCAAGGAAGCAACGGAAAACGGGAGAGGGCTTAGCGGAGACGACATTTGAGCCGGCCTGGAAGATGGAAAAAGGGACTTAAAGTGTGGCCCTTCCCCCGGGTCCGCAGCTGGAGCTCAGCCCGGGCGGGTACGCTCCTCTCCCGGCTCCGATCCCCTTTCAGCGCATTCATTCCCACCTGGGCCGGGGTGGGCGGGCAGACAATCAGACGCGGTTTTATCGCAGGCATCGGCTGCAACCTTCTGCTTTTGGCGCCCGCAACGCGCGGCGGCTGGGGAATTAGTCTTTCGGAACTCCCGGGAACGTAAGCGTCCGGGCCTCTCACACTGGCTCCGGGAGTCGGAAGGCTACGGTCTGCGCTCGGGACTGCCAGGCGCTGAAAGCAAGCCCTCCGAGAGGGACCCGCTGTCCCCGCAGCCCCGCCCCTGCGCCCGTCCCCAGTGTTCCCGGTGCAGTGGCCGGGTACCGTACTACAACTCCCAGAAGGCTTCGCGACCATGGGAGAACGACAGGGGGTGGGCCTCTATCCGAGCAGCCTGCCAACCCGGGAGGGACGTGGCGTACCGCGCTGCCGGAAGTTCCGGGAAGTGGGCCCCGAGTCTGGCGCGAGCTTCCGTATTGGTCGCGCGCCTTGCTGCTGCTAAGATGGCGGCCGAACATCCCGAGCCTCCCAAAGGAGAGTTGCAGCTGCCGCCGCCGCCACCTCCTGGTCACTATGGCGCCTGGGCTGTCCAGGAGCTTCAGGCCAAATTGGCCGAGATCGGAGCTCCGATCCAAGGTAAGGAGAACTGGAGATCAAGAGCCAGCCGCGTAGGCCTGCGGGGAAGCGGAGCCTGGTTACCCCGGAGATCGGGGGGCGGAGGCGGGCCGCTGGGGCCCGACTTGGGCGGACGGGCCTGACTCGGGCTCGGCGTGACTTACCGGATGATCCTCTTCTTTGCACAGCTGGGAGTCGCGAGGAGCTAGTGGAACGGCTGCAGAGCTACACCCGCCAGGTAAGTGTTGGCGGCGGGAGGAGGCCTATCATGACCTCCTAACTCGGTCTTGGTTCTTTGTGTTCCTTGGCACAGCTAGCGGGGCTTTCCCTTTTTGTGTGTTGTTGTCTTTACCTGCTCTCGTGTAACCGTCGCTATACACCTACTGGTCTTCCCAGTGCCCAGCCGAGCTCCAGCAGACAGGCCTGGGTAAATGTTGTTGCATGGATAGGAGTGAACATCCCTTAGTCACGCAGCGGTTCTCAACCTGTGGGTCGCGACCCCTTTGGCGGTTGAACGACCCTTTCACAGGGGTCGCCTAAGACCATCCTGCATATCAGATATTTACATTACGATTCATAACAGTAGCAACATTACAGTTATGAAGTAGCAATGAAAATTTATGGTTGGGTCACAACATGAGGAACTGTAATTAAAGTGCCAGAAGGTTGAGAACCACTGCTAGTGGAACAGCTGCTCTTGGACTGACCTAGAGCCCGTTCTCTTTTGCAGACTGGTATTGTACTGAATCGGCCGGTTCTGAGAGGTGAAGATGGGGACAAAGCAGCTCCGCCTCCCATGTCAGCACAGGTAAGATGGTGGTTCCACTTTTTAAGGTCCCTTTTGCTTAGAAAGGTCCTTCTCACATGTAGTGTAGGCGGGATGCAACTAGGAGACTGGGCAGGGAGGTGCTGCAGTGACAGAATTAGCTCTTCAGTTCGTCCTTGGTCCTGATCCTTGCATCCTTCCCCAGTGTCTGGTCCTCCAAATTCTACTTAAGATTTAGCGCAAATATTTGGAAGCCTGACTTGATTTACCCCCACCCCCTCCAAACCAGCTGGAAGTAATCGCTATCTTCTTTGTCCTCCTGGGCATAGTTCCTGTATTCATTGAGACATTAGGGGTCACTCCTTGATTTGATTTCATACCCTCTATGTTTACTGAGCAATTGGGAGACACTGGCTCCCGTTTATCTAAGTTCTCTCAACTTCCATGTTCTTTCTGATCCAAGATTTTACTTTTTCTCTAGAGCAGTGGCTCTGACCTGGGATCCATTGATTTCTGTGTGTGGGGTGAGGAGTCCTTAGAAGGCCTTTAGCGGTGTCCCTGAATCTCCTGAAATTGCATGCAAAATCTGTGTTCATGCTAGGCTGGTGTGGCTCAGTGGTTGAGAGTCAACCTATAAACCAGGAGGTCAGGGTTCATTTCCAGGTCAGAGCACACGAGTGGCTTGATCCCCAGTAGGGAGAGTGCAGGAGGCAGTCAATCAATGATTCTCATCATTGATGTTTGTATCTCTCTCCCTCTCCCTTCCTTTCTGAAACCAATAAAAATCTTATTTTTTAAAATGTGTGTTCATGATATTTTTCTGAGGAGAAAATCAATAGCTTTCATTGGTTGGTGTCTCAAAGTTAACATCTTTTCTTGGTATTGCTATAGAGCAGTGATGGTGAACCTATGACACGCGTGTCAGAGGTGACACGCGTGTCAGAGGTGACACGCGTGTCAGAGGTGACACGCGTGTCAGAGGTGACACGCGTGTCAGAGGTGACACGCGTGTCAGAGGTGACACGCGTGTCAGAGGTGACACGCGTGTCAGAGGTGACACGCGTGCTCATTTTTTTGGTTGATTTTTCTTTGTTAAATGGCATTTAAATATATAAAATAAATATCAAAAATATAAGTCTTTGTTTTACTATGGTTGCAAATATCAAAAAATTTCTATATGTGACACGGCACCAGAGTTAAGTTAGGGTTTTTCAAAATGCTAACACGCCGAGCTCAAAAGGTTCTCCATCACTGCTATAGAGTATTGTCTTGAATTTAAGAATTGTGTGTCATTTGACTTTGAATCCCAGCACTTGCCAGATAGTAGATCCCCAGCAAATGTCTGCAGTAGATAAATGCTTCCTAGATTATGATCATATATTTTTTCCACAGCTCACTGGGATTCCGATGCCACCGCCACCCATGGGCCTCCCGCCTCTGCAGCCTCCTCCACCACCTCCACCACCTCCACCAGGCCTTGGCCTTGGTTTTCCTATGGCAGTTGGACCCCGCCCACCAAACTTGGGGCCCCCACCTCCTCTCCGTGTGGGTGAGCCTGTGGCGTTGTCAGAGGAGGAGCGGCTGAAGCTGGCGCAGCAGCAGGCAGCATTGTTGATGCAGCAAGAGGAGCGCGCCAAGCAGGTGAGGAGGGCATCTGGCAGACTGGGCCTGGGTCTTGAAGGGGGAGTGGAGCCTCAGAGAGAGATGGATTCTGGGGCCAAGCCTTCTGGGAAGGTCTGGACCAAAGACTGGCACTTAGGTTCTAGGCTGGAAGCGGGCCTCAGGAAGCAGAGTTGTGCAGACTGGCCTGTGGGGTCTCGGTGCAGCATGAGCTTGTTTTCTTTTTTTAGCAGGGAGATCATTCACTGAAGGAACATGAGCTCTTGGAGCAACAGAAGCGGGTAATGCCCCTCATTTTAATTTTTGACCCCATGTTCCAACTCCTTGGCTATCACTTCTAGTGCTTTGTGTCCAAAACAAGATGCACCATTCAACATTACCTTACCCTCAACTAAATTTCAGTATTTCCCAAGTAATTTCATCTTTCTTATACCTGAGGGGTTGCTAAACTGTGGACTGCAGTCTGTTTTTTGTATGGCCTGCAAGCTAAGAATTGTTTTTATATTTTTAGAGGATTGTTAAAAAATAAAAAAATAAAACCCAAGAGTAGACAAAGAAGTCCATACAATGGCCCAATATTTACTCTCAGGCCCATTACAGAAACATTCGCTGATCCCTTCTAGTCTTACATGATGTCGTTTTAGGTGCCATGGAGGGGACTCTGGGCTAATGTAGTCATTTGTATCAGACTGAATGCGGTGGATAGAAGTTAGGGAACGGCACAGAAGACATTTGGCCCCACAGGTGCATTGTGTCAGTTACTAATGGCTTACTCGGAGAATTAGAAAATAGGCATTAATTGCACCAGGCGTGGAAGTATTTATGAAGAACTCTCTTTGCCCAGATTGTGCTAGATCTTGAGGGGTAGATATAAGAAAAGAATTCACTGTTTCTTAGAGATAACTAATCTTTTGGGAAGAAAACTCTTGTTAAAAATAGAAGTCAGTGTTTAAGCTAAATAGTAAATTCTCTGCTAGGAATTTGGGCTTTTTCTCGGCATTATTTCCAGGGGTTTTGTTTTGTGGTGAGAGGGGCTCCTCCGTGTGGATCGGTATCCTGGAAGTTGGGGGAGGGAGGGGGGATGTGGGGATGTCAGAACTCCAGTGGTACCTGTTTGTTCTCCTTGGTCCTGTTACCTGGCTGAAAGAATGCATTTGCCAGGAGCTGCCTGCCCAGTGGAATTCCAAGTTGTGTCTCCACTTCCACTTCCCTCTCATAGGCAGCTGTGTTACTGGAGCAAGAACGGGTGCAGGAGATTGCCAAGATGGGCAGCCCAGTCCCTCGGCCCCCACAAGACATGGGCCAAATTGGTGTTCGCACTCCTCTGGGTCCTCGAGGTAAGACCTCAGAAATGGAAGGAAAGGGAAAGGAAGGTGATGAAAATTTTATTTATTTAAGTATATATCACATTTAAAAACTATGTGTCAAAAGTGAATTTTCATAAACTGACACCCATACAACCAGCATCCCAAAAGCCCTCCTGGCTCTCTTCCAGCCACCCTCTCCCCCTAAGGGTAACCATCACTCTAACTTTTAGCACACAAGGCAGGTAGTTTTTAAAATGAGTGTTTCTCTCTTTTTGTTGTTGTTGTTATCTCTTCTCACATTGGATTTTTGGATTTCTTTCTTAGTTGCTGCTCCAGTGGGCCCCACTCCTACTGTTTTGCCCATGGGGGCCCCGGTTCCCCGGCCTCGTGGTCCCCCACCACCCCCTGGAGATGAGAACAGAGAGGTGAGATTGCTGATTTCTTCCTAGATAGAGGAGAGTGTGTTTTAGAAGGGGACTGTTTCTGGATTTTTAGAAAAGGATTCTGAGAAGATGGGAGGACTCCTGGGGGTGGGGGTGAGGGTGAGGGGCATAGGTAACTCAGACTTATTTGGGCAGGGCAGGAAGACATTTCTGGGGCAGGTTCTGTGCTTCACTCTGTGGGATGCTGAGGGATGGTTGAGTCCAGTTGGTGTTGTCCACTTCCTGCTGTTTATGTCCTGGGGCAGTAGCTTTTCTAGTAGGAGAGGTGGAAATCGTTGGGAAAGGGGCACTGAGATTACCTCCCTCTGCCTGGCTTGTCTCTGGCAGATGGACGACCCCTCTGTGGGCCCCAAGATCCCCCAGGCTTTGGAAAAGATCCTGCAGCTGAAAGAGAGCCGCCAGGAAGAGATGAACTCTCAACAGGGTGAGTGCATTGTCGTCCTGAGGGCTGCAAGAACAGAACCTGCAGTGGCTGATGCCGAGGAGGGTTTGAGAGAGAAACTGGCTCTTGGTAAAGACGGGTTACAGTGAGCAAGTAGCAGGGCAGTGGCCCTGAGAGGACACTGATGGCCACCTTCCTCCCTTACAGAGGAAGAGGAAATGGAAACAGACACACGCTCATCCCT